ATTAATAACCACGTCAACAGATGGCGCATTATTTTGCGACTTTTTTCTCGCCTATATTAATATACACGGACTCATGGTGGTTGTCAAAAATATTTTATAATTTATATTTTATTGATTTTTAAATCACCTTCGTAAGCGGCAGCCATTAAAGGTGTCCATCTTTTTCGATTCTTGATATTTACAAGAGCACCATTTATGATCAGTAATTCAACAACACGTTCATGTCCTTGAATTGATTAAATTTTGATGTATCTAGTTCTTTTGTTTATCCATGGATCATTTGGGGGCTTTTAAGCAATCAAATATGATCATTTACCATGCAAAGAAGCTGTATGAATTGGTGACCCTCCCTCGATATCTTTCAAATTAATATCTGCGCCGTTCTTAATCAATAGTTCAACTATATTTGAGTGACCTGAGTGTAAATGAGATTCAAATATTATTCTCTATATTTCGAAAGAGTGGCAAAAGTGAATTTCAATTGAACTACCTCTTTCCGAAGCCATATACAAGGCAGTTTCTCCGTTATAATTTCGATCGTTCATATGTGCTCCGTTTTTTAGTAGAACTTCAACAATTTTCTCATGACCTATGGAAATGATTTTGTTACATAATTCAAAAAATATTGTGTAATTTATATTTTGTAGAGAAGTTTTTTGATTTTTAAGTGACCTTTTTGAGCGGCGGCAATTATTGGTGACCATCCGGCTCTAGTTTTCAAATTAATATCTGCGCCGTTCTTAATCAATAGTTCAACTATATTTGAGTGACCTGAGTGTAAATGAGATTCAAATATTATTCTCTATACGAGGGTTGCTCCATAATTTTTTTTAAAAACATATATAACACAGTTGTTTTTTGTCGAAAATGGTTTTATTGTTTTTCAAAATATTCCCCGAGATGATCGATACACTTTTGCATTCGATGAAACCATTTGTCATAGCATTCGTGCCACTCCGAAAGTGATATCTCCAAAACGTGTGTTTTGAACGCTTCAACTGCTTCTTCTGGTGTCGAAAATCGTTGACCACGTAGTTTTTTCTTCACGCTTGGGAACAAAAAAAAGTCATTGGGTGCCAGGTCAGGACTGTACGGTGGATGACCCATCAGTTCGATGTTTTGACCGGTCAAAAATCGAGTAGTTTGAAAAGATGTGTGAGAGCTCGCATTATCGTGATGAAGAATTATTTTGCGACGGTGGTTGTTTTTTCTTATTTCACCAAACACTTCGGGCAAACAAATGGTGGTATACCAATCAGAATTGACGGTCTTACGATCCTCTAGTTGAACGGTTGCCACATGACCACTTCTCCCGAAAAAACAGGCGACCATTCGCTTCGAAGTGCTTCTTGCTCGAACAACTTTCGTTGGGTTATCTTCATTTTGGAAGACCCATACAGTCGACTGCTGTTTCGTTTCGGGCTCATAGGCATATATCCACGATTCGTCACCAGTGACGATTTTATTAACGTCTTTTGAAGCACCACGATTGAATTTCTTGAGCATTTCTTTACACCAACTCACACGAGCCATTTTTTGTTCATCGGTCAATTTATGTGGGATCCAACGAGAGCAAATCTTTTTTACGGCTAAATGTTCATGCAAAATTGTATGTATGCTGTGGGATGAAATGCCCAAAGATGCCTCAATCTCACGGTAGGTCACATGACGATCTTCCATAATCAGTTTTCTGACAGCATCGATGTTTTGTGGCACAACAGCCGATTTTGGACGACCTGTATGAAACTCGTCTTTGAGCGAACTACGACCGCAACGGAATTCTCGGTACCAGTTATAAATTGTCTGAAGGGTTGGTGCTTCATTGCCAAAGGCCAAATGAAGTCGATCGAAACACTGTTGTTGAGATAATTTACTTCGAAAATCGTAGTAAATCATTTTACGAAAATCTTCACGTGTAAAATTCATTTTTTTGTTGAGTCGCAGTTTACCAGTCACTGTAAACAATACAAATAGCGTTCGTACGACAAAAGGTTCAGGGCACGAATACATACCAAAACATCAAACTTTACGAATATGACAATGGTTTACATCGGGCAACACTATAAGTACCATTTTAAAAAAAATTATGGAGCAACCTACGTATTTCGAAAGAGTGGCAAAAGTGAATTTCAATTGAAGTACCTCTATCCGAAGCCATATACAAGGCAGTTTCTCCGTTATAATTTCGATCGTTCATATTTGCTCCGTTTTTTAGTAGAACTTCAACAATTTTCTCATGACCTATGGAAATGATTTTGTTACAAAATTCAAAAAATATTGTGTAATTTATATTTTGCAGATAGGTTTTTTGATTTTTAAGTGAGCTTTTTGAGCGGCGGCAATTATTGGTGACCATCCGACGTTAGTTTTCAAATTAATATCTGCGCCATTTTTAATCAATAGCTCAACAACATTTAAGTGACCTCGAGAAAAAAGAGATTTAATTATTTCAGTGATTAATTGAATCACAGGGGACCTATCACTTTGATTATACAGTTTTTAAAACGCCAAAATATAGATTTCTCTGGATTTCAATCAAAATAGCGCTTTCTTCTATACATGGTGAAAAAAAAATGTTAAGTAATTGAATATGATTATTTACCATTGTAAGAAGCTATATAAATTGCTGTCCATCCGTATTTATCTTTCAAATTAATATTTGCGCCATTCTTAATCAATAACTCAACAATATTTGAATGACCTGAGTGAAAATGAGATTCCAATGTTATTCTCCATATTTCGAAAGTGTGACTTACGGTGACCAAAGTGAAATTCAATTGCATTACCTCTATCCGAAGCCAAATACAAGGCAGTTTCTCCGACGTCATTTTGATCGTTGACATTTGCTCCGTTTTTAAGTAGCACTTCAACAATTCGCTCATGACCTATGGAAATGGTTTTGTTACAAAATTCAATTTGTTTTGTGATTTATATTTTATTGATTTTTAAATCACCTTCTTTAGCGGCAGCCATTAAAGGTGTCCATCTGAGCTGACTCTTGATATTTACAAGGGCACCATTTGTGATCAATAATTCAACAACACGTTCATGTCCTTGAATTGATATAATGTTCATGTTCTTTTGTTAATACATTTCAATTTAAAGTATGCCTTCTTCTATTACATATTTTGAAGAAAAAAGCATTTTAAGTAATTAAATATGACCATTTACCCATACAATGTTGCTAGCTAGCTATTTATATCAGCTATTGCTATAGCGATATAAAAATAGCTGCTATTTAACGCAACTCTTCGCTCTGATGTTGCGTATACTCGACATAACAATGATGTCATTGTTAGAAAATGATTTAAAATGTTAAACTTTTCAAACAATGAGACCATTGTTATGTCCGCATACACAGCGTCCGAGCGAAGAGATACGTTAAATAGCAACTATTTTTATATCGCTATAGCAATAGCTGATATAAATAGCTAGCTATCAACATAGTATGCATTTACCATAGAAAGCTGCTGCATAAATTGGTGACCATACGATGTCATCTTTCACATTAATATCTGCACCATTCTTAATCAATAACTCAACAATATTTGAGTGACCTGAGTGTAAATGAGATTCAAATATTATTCTCTATAATTCGAAATAGTGGCTAAAGTGAAATTCAATTGCATTACCTTTATCCGAAGCCCAATACAATGCCGTTTTTCCATCGTCATTTTGATCGTTGACATTTGCTCCGTTTTTAAGTAGCACTTCAACAATTCGCTCATGGCCTATCGAAATGGTTTTATTACAAAATACAAGAAATGTTTTGTAATTTATATTTTTTGGAAAAATTTATTGAACTTTTAATCACCTTCTTGAGCGGCGGCCATTATTGGTGTCGAGTCGTCGTCTTTTTTGACATTTACAAGGGCACCATTTGTGATCAGTAATTCAACAACACGTTCATGTCCTTGAATTGATAAAATGTTCATGTTCCTTGTTAATACATTTCAATTTGAAATACGCTCCTTTTCATACATAATTTGAGGATACAAGCCCTTAAAGTAGTTAAATATGATCATTTACCATTGAAAGAAGCTATAAAAATTGGTGAATATCCGTTGTCAGCGTTCAAATTAGTATCTGCGCCATTCTTAAGCAATAACTCAACTACATTTGAGTGTCCTAAGTGAAAATGAGATTCCAATATTACTCTTTATATTTAGAAAGAGTGGCTAAAGTGAAATTCAATTGCATTACCTTTATCCGAAGCCCAATACAATGCCGTTTTTCCATCGTTATCTTGATTGTTGATATTTGCTCCGTAATTAAGTAGCACTTCAATAACTCGATCATGACCTTTCGAAATGGTTTTGATACAAAGTTTAAGAAATGTTTTATAATTTATATTTTCTGGAGATATTTATTGAACCTTCTTTAGCGGCGGCCATTATTGGTGTCCACCCTTTCTTGTTCTTGATATCTACAAGTGTACCATTTGTGATCAGTAATTCAACAACACGCTCACGTCCTTGATTTGATAAAATGTTCATGTTCTTTTGTTAATACATTTCAATTTGAAATACGCCTTCTTCCATTACATATTTGAAGAAAAAAGCATTTTAAGTAATTAAATATGATTATTTACCATTGAAAGAAGCTGTATAAAGTGTTGACCATCCCTTTTTATCTTTCAACTTAATATTTGAGCCATTCTTAAGTAATAACTCAACTACATTTGAGTCACCTGCATTTGAATGAACTACATTTATTTTGTATATTTCGAAAGTGTGACTAAAGCGAATTTCAATTGCATTACCTTCATCCGACTCCCAATATAAGGTACTTCCAACAAAGTCTTTGTGATCGTTAACATTTGCTCCGTTTTCAAGTAGCAGTTCAACAACTCGCTCATGACCTATGAAATGGTTTTGATACAAAGTTCGAGAAAAGTTTTGTAATTTATATTTTCGGGTGAAATTTATTGAATTTTAAATCACCGTTATCTGCAGCAGCATGTAGTGGTGACAATCCGTCTTTCGTTTTTAAATTAATATCTGCGCCATTCTTAATCAATAACTCAACAATATTTGAGTGACCTGAGTGTAAATGAGATTCAAATCTTATTCTCTATAATTTGAAAGAGTGGCAAAAGTGAATTCCGATTGCACTACCTTTATCCGAAGCCCAATACAACGCAGTTAATCTTTCGTTATTTTGATCGTTGACATTTGCTCCGTTTTTAAGTAGCAGTTCAACAACTCGCTCATGACCTATGAAATGGTTTTGATACAAAGTTCGAGAAAAGTTTTGTAATTTATATTTTCGGGTGAAATTTATTGAATTTTAAATTACCGTAATATGCGGCACCATGTATTGGTGAGTTTCCGTACTTATTTTTTAAATTAAAATCTGCACCATTCTTTATCAGTAACTCAACAACATTTGAGTGACCTGAGTGACAATGAGATTCCAATATTATTCTCTATATTTCGAAAGTGTGACTAAAGTGAATTTCGATTGCATTACCTTGAATCGAAGCCCAAATCAAGGCAGTTTCTCCATCGTTACTTTGATCGTTCACATTTGATCCGTTTTTAAGTAGCATTTCAACAATTCGCTCATGGCCTATCGAAATGGTTTTGATACAAAGCT